CGCCTATTGAATTTGGCCATGAATGAGAATGTAGCTGTCATCCATTTTTCAGAAGCCCTCCTTCCGTGAACATTACATTTCCATCATAAAGGGAAGTCAGCTAAGCACACCATGGAGTTCATGCAGAAATCAGAAAAATAAGTGGATCCTTTAATGATTTACATCTCGTTTTTGATAGCTCATTAGAGGTAATAGGCAAAGGGCCAGGAAAGGTCCAAATGGATCTAGCAAACGTGCTGTATTGTCATCAAAGAGACAAAGAATGTTTTTACTGAAGTCTTGCAAATAGCTCCCTGCTTTTGAATGATGACTGCTGATTATTCTTATCTTCCTCATTTATAATCAGAGAAAGTCTTGTTCATCACCTTTTCTTGATACCATGAAACTGTCAGAAAAATATTACCACTTACAGAGCTGACTATGAGGACTGGGAGACCCAAGCAGGTTAAAGGAACAAGACTTAAACTGCACTTGATGCCAAAATATGTGTGCAATTCCTCAGACAATAGCAGGAACAAATAATGTTTGTTAACTTAGTAACTTAACATTCAAGCTCAGCAACGTTTCTTCTCAGTGATTAGAATGACTAGTATTCATTTGATAGGTTGGCTGGTCTGTTGTTTTTAAGATATTTTTTATAATTATCATTTGATGAGCAGTTGTCAAAAGGAAGGGTCTATACTAGCTGCTCAGATAAGGAAATGTGCAGCTAATAAAGTAAAAACACACAAAGGAGCCAGATTAATATCCTGTAAAGCACAGATCCAATCAATATCTCTCCTGATTAAGTCTAATTTTTCCCTCACTCTCTACCTAATTAAGTCAAGTTTTATCTCCAGACTTCACAGGTCTTCATTCCATAGCCTTTGGCTCTTTTGATATTTTATTCTACTGTTTATCTCTGCTGATGTATATTACAGTCATTTACTAGTTCTTAATTTCTGGCTGCATATTAGAATCACCTGAGAAGCTTTAACACACACACACACACACACACACACACACACACACACACACACGAGGAACTTCCATATATTCATTGAATGTGAATCTGGGATGGTGATATTTAGCCATCAATTTGTTGTTAGTTTTGTGGAAGTTTTTAACACTTTATTTGGGTTATCTGTTGTTCCAAGTCAAACCACAATATCTATTTAGGTAAAAAAGCGAACATTTTTAAATGATTCTAAATTCTATGGGTCAAAATGTTTTTTGAGCTTTTTATATATATGTTTTTATTGTGAAAATACTGTACGGAGGAGTTATAGTTACATGAGCAAGGTAATGAGTACATTTCTTATCAAGCATTGTTGCCTCCTCCTTTGTTTTTTTTCCCTACCATCCCTTCCCTCCCACCTCCACAACTACATTACCTCCTCCCCCCACCTAAATTGTAAAGTTCATTTTTCAACATAGTGTCTTGTACATCTCATTGTTACAATGGGTCAACCTGTATCCCTATTTAAACTATTTGTTTTTTCCCTTCCCCTCCCCAAATTATACCGACATCAAATACAGTAAAACAGGGGTTATAGCGTGGGGGAGGAACACACAAAGCAACAAAAAAAATCACATGTTACCTTATAAATATGTTAGAAACAATAGCAAGAAAGAAAAAACCCCTATATCCTTATCTTGGAGTTCATTTCACTTAACATCATCTTATCTGGTCATATGTATATAGCTTTTGGCCTTTTCTGCTTGTCCCAGACATATACTAGTTATTGCAAATAAGGGAAACCATGGGACCTATGTTTCTTTGGGCCTGGCTTATTTCACTTAATATAATTTTTCAAGTCTTTCCATTTCTTAACAAATGGGGCAATGTCATTCTTTCTGATGGAGGCATAGAATTCCATTGTGTATAGATACCACATTTTCTTGATCCATTCATCTACTGAGGGGAGTCTGGGTTGGTTCCATATCTTAGCTATGGTAAATAATGCTGCAATAAACATAGTTGTGCTGGTAGCTTTAGTATAGTCTTGTTTGTGATCATTCGAGTAAATGGGCCAAAGTGGGATTGCTGGGTCATAGGGAAGCTCTATGTGGAGTCTTTTGACGAACCTCCATACTGCTTTCCAAAGTGGTTGAACAAGTTTACACTCCCACCAACAATGCAGTAGGGTTCCCTTCTAGCCACATCCCCTCCAGCATCAGTTGTTGTTAGAGTTCTTGATTATAGCCATTCTAATTGGGGTGAGATGGAATCTCAATGCTATTTTGATTTGCATTTCTTTTATGGCTAGAGAGGTTGAGCATTTCTTCATGTGTCTATTGTCCATCCTTCTTTCCTCTTCAGAGAAGTTTCTTTAGCCCACTTATTTATCGGGCAGTTGTTTCCTTGAGGACTTGTTGTTCGGGGACTTAATTTTTTGAGTTCCAAGTATATTTTAGATATGAGATCCTTATCCATTGTATGGCTAGTGAAGATGTTCTCCCAATCTGTGGGCTTTCTATTGATCTTGCTAGCTATGTCCTTTGCCAGGCAGAAGCTCTGCAATTCCTGCAATGCCATTTGTCCAACCTTTCTTTGATTTGTTGTGTTTCTGGGTCTCTATTAAGAAAATTTTGATCTGTGCCAAGGAGACTAGGTTTTCTCCTATTCCTTCCTGTAATGTTTTCAGGGTGTCTGCTTTGACTTTCAGGTCTTTGATCCATTTGGAGTTGATTCTGGTGCAGAATGATGTATAAGGATCTAGCTTTTAGTTTTATACAGGTGATTAACCAATTTTGCCAGCACCATTTACTGAAGAGGCTGTCTTTCTTCTATTCTGTTTTTTTAGCTCCCTTATCAAAGATTAGATGGCTATAGGTCTATGGGTTCATTTCTGGGTTCTCAATTCTATTCCATTGGTCCTCAGGTCTCTTCTTGTGCCAGTACCAAGCTGTTTTGATAACTATGGCTTTGTAGTAGAGTTTGAAATTTGGTATTAATATTCTTCCAGCATTGTTCTTTCTGCTGAGGATTGTTTTTGCTATTCGGGGTCTTTTATTGTTCCATATGAACTTTTGGATTGCCTCTTCTATTTCCTTGAAGAATGAGGTTGGAATTTTGATAGGTATCACATTGAATTTGTAGCTAGCCTTGAGAAGTATTGCCATTTTCACGATGTTGGTATGGATCAAAATTTTTGACCGGACACATCAGTGACAGTCTTGGGATTCATTTGGATGTCTGTATGTCTAGGGTCTTTGCTGGTACAATTCAGAATGACTAGAGTTGTCTCAAAGAACTGAGTGCTACAATCAACAGAAACTTCTCTGTTGACATTTCTGCCACTCAGACTGAGAAAACACAAAGGCTCTTCTGCTCATCTGACCCTTTCACCTGTTGCCAAGTTACCTACACATACACACACACACATACACACACACACACACACAAACACACACACATGTGTGTATGTATATGTAGATATACCTTGTATGTATATGTGTATATATATATATATATATATATACCTTGTGTATATACATACCATAAATATCAGCATGCTATGAGGAAGTCCAAATGTGTATATATATATATATATGTATATATATATATACACACATATATACATTGTATATAAGCATATGTATATGTTTATATATATATATATTTACCTTGAACTTCCTCATAGCATGCTGATTCAAGGTGGTCAAAGTTCCTGTGTAGAAGCTCATTACTCAAGGAACAAATATTCTAAGGACAAAGGTGAAATTATGACTCCTTTCTATGCACCTAACCTCAGAGGGCAAAATCTTTCAGCTTCAAGTGAGACTCATAGGAAGGGAGAGACTCCCCTTTCTAAAGGAAGAAAGAGAAAAACTTGTAACCACATTTTAAAGTCTATATATAGCCAAGGCAATTCCAATATCAGCCAGTGTTAAGAATGGTCACTCAGTTTATGTAAGCACTAAACTACAGAGCAGGGACAAGAGTTGGATGAAGGACAGAGAAAGACCAGGATTCAAATTTCAGGAAGGTAATCACTGTCAATCATGAAAGCAAAGGCTATCACTTTACTTACACCAGGTAGAATCATCCTATCTATAAGCCTTAGAACTTTGTGATAAGTATTGTGATCATTCTACTGATGAGAAAGCCTGAAATTAAAAGGTTTATTCATTTTAAGCAGGGCTCCAGTGGCTCACATCTGGAATTCTAGCTACTTAGAATGCTCAGATCTGAAGACCACAGTTTGAAACCAGTTCAGGCAGAAAAGTCAGAGACTATCACCAATTAACCAGAAAAAAGGGGGGAAAAGCCTGATGTGGAGGTATGACTTGGGTGGTAGAGCACCAGCCTCGAGTAGAAAAGCCAAGCGAGAGCAAAAGGCCCTGATGTTCAACCCTCAATAGCAGTGTACACACACACACACACACACACACACACACACATTAATTTGCCAAATTGTAAAGTTATAAAAATATGAAGGCAAGTTTAGAGTTCAGATCTGGCAGATACCAATCTGAATGCCACTAAAATAGCCACCCCTTCTATGGTTTTATGCAGAAACTCACCTGTCTCGGGGGCAGGGGAGGAGGGAGGAATAGACAGCTCTGATTGGACCAAAAACAAAGCAAGCAAAACTTCAAATCCCTCTGGACACAGGGGTTCCAATATGTGAGTCCGTGGGAGTTCTGACTTTGCCCTTTGGCTGTTCGGGACTAAGCCTTTCCTTTTTTCCAGTCGCTCTCCATCTGCCTGGACCATCTCCTTTCTCCCCACACGTTGGGCTGCCCTAAGTTATCTCTGGCTTGTGGCTAATGGTGCTCCTTTGGGAGTAAAGTCGGCTACCCAGTCTGGGAAGCAATGCTTTGCTAAGTGCAGGGATGCATCTGATTGGGAGCCTCCAGCGGGGGGAAAACAGGGAAGGAGGTGGTGAGAAAGCGCGCGTGCGGAGAGCCGTGAGGCCGGAGAGGAGGAGGAGACAGAGCGCTCGGAGAGGAGGGAGGCGCGCAGGGAGCGAACACCCACTCTCATCCTCAGCCGGCAGCGCAGCGCCAGGAAGCAGCAGCATTTGCAGCCGCGCCCTGGTCCAAGCCCCAGCATCTCTGCTCAGCGCACCCCGCCGGTAGGCATCGGGGCTTGTAAGGATGGAGGACTCCCAGGAGACGTCGCCATCCTCCAACAACTCCTCGGAAGAGCTCAGCTCTGCTCTGCAGCTGTCCAAGGGCATGTCGATCTTCCTCGACGTAAGTACAGATGAAAGGAACGCCAGGATCGTTAGAGGAAGAGGGAGGCTGGGCTCTGATGCTGATCAGTTTTGCCCCAAGGAGAACCCTCTCCAATCCCTTTCCTCCAGATCATTACCCAGACAACCTCGTAGGAAATGAATAGAAAATGACCACTACAGCTCAACTTGTAAGAAGGGCTGTCCTCAAGGAAATCCCAGAAGTTAAACTTCCCAGCAGCCTGATCTCTTTAGGGACTGCCATAACTAAGGATTCGTCACCACTGGTGTGCAAAGAAGGTGTGGGTTCCCAATTCATCCCTATTGTGTCCCGGTGGCTGGTAGGCTACCTTGTCTTATGCTGTGAAGCATGCACACAGCATGTGCGCTTACCAGACCCAGGGTCCTCCCTTGGCTCCCTCCAAAAACAATTACTTCGAGCACATTTATTTTTCCTTTCCCAGCGCTGCACAAATCCCTTGTATGATTGTTCTTCTCTGAGTTCCCCCTTTTGCCTTTCCATTGTTCCCCCTTCCCTGTTAATCTCCTTCTCAAGTTGTGTTCACTTCCAGCTTTGGCTGTTTTCCCTCGGGCCCCCTCCCTTGCTTTGGAATTGCCTGCTTTCCTCCGTTTTCTGATCCTATTCCCATCCTTTCTTTTCCTCCTGTGTTATTTTCCTGCCCTGAAGCCGAGGCTTCTAGCTTTATAGCAGTTTGAGATTAGGTCGGTCTCTCGATTTTTCTTTTTTGGTTCACTTTTAAATCCTACTGTTTTGTTCTTTGTATTGAACACTCTGGTGTTCAGCTCTTTTCTCCGCATGTAGGATTCCTGGTTTGTCCTGTGCCTCAGTTGCCTGCCTGCTTCCTGTCCCTCAGCCCCCCCAGTTCACCAGAGCTTACACGCAGGCTGTATCCTCAGGTGGGAAAATTCTAGCTTGTGCTTTTTAGCATGAAAGAAAATAGGCAGATATCAGGAGAGCAGTTTGTTCTTCCTCTAAATCGTCTCTGAGTTAACATTTCTTATTAAAATCGAAGTGAGTCGGGGTGGGTCAGAGGCCAGATCCATGTACTATAGGAAAACATGAAAATAGGAGGAAATGAAGTTACTAGTATCATAATTATGAAGCAGAAATAGTGAAGATAATGAGAAGAGGAATTAGGGCAAGGGGTTCTCCTGGACTTGATTTTTGAATAGGTTAGCTAGAAATATTTTAATTGGTAGCGAAACTCCTATAGATGATTAAAAGTCATCTAAGGCACTTCAGAGCGAAAAGGTTCAACTGGGTGTGCCCTGTCAGCCTTCTCTCCTCCTCACCCTGCAGCTTCAAGGAAGGGGATCCAAGCATTTAGGGCCAGCCATTTTCTTCCTACCAAAACACAAGTGTCTGCTTCTCATTCATTTCTTCTTTCTTCTTCTTGAGCTTTTATCTCTGCTAGGCTTGAGTAAATTATGTGGTACTATTGGTGCTAATGTGTAACAGGCTGATGTTCCTTCTACTTCTGTGACTCAGAGCCACAAAGGCCTTGAAGAACTGATTTGGGGGGAGGGAGAGTCAAGCCAACACACCTGAGAAGGAAATCCTCCTTTCCAGGAGAAAGTCGGGGGGTGGTCCTTAGAATCATGCCTATTATTATCTGAAAACTATGCTACCAAGAAGTGACTTCGGAAAGCAAGTGGCTCCTCTCTTCATTCTGACCTGATCTGGACTCGAATGCTTTATTACTCTAATGCAAAGCTTGGCAACAGTCTGGTGATGGATGGATCGAGACTATATACATGGAAAGTTAGCCTCTTAGACACAGACCACTCTTGGCTCAGGTGTTCAAATAAACAAGAAAAAAACAGAAATTAAAATCTCATTTGTTATGTATGTGCAATTGTTCCTATATTCTGTAAACACACAGCCTCAGGTACCTTTCCCGAAGGAACGTGTCATCTATGAATAGGGCACCCTTGCGTTCTTCTGTCTATTTGTGGAATTTTAAAATGTAAAACTGATTCCACAGGAGAAGTGTTGGCATATTTATTTAAAAAAAAAAGCTAGCATTGGATTTTGTCTCAAATAGAAAAGATGTTGTTTACACAGTTTTGAGTTATTTTGTGAAAAAATCTAACACTCTAGTGAAATATGTGACACGAAAAAGGATTTGTTATTTAGGAAGTTTTGAATTATTCATCCTGGATCATGCTGCTTTTAACAAAATAAAATGTGAAATACAAATACATCAGTTTGTTTGATTAGGTTTAGCATGTTCCAATAGCATTGCTTAGAAAGACTGCTTTTGAAATTCTATTCAGATCATAATAAATAGGGAGTTGACACTATCCATTCCAAACTGGAACAGAAATTAAACCACTTGCGAACTTCTCAGACTAATTTCCAAATTTGAGGAAAACTGATTTCCAGTGTTTGTATCCCACTATCACTGAAGTAATCAGTCTTCAAAAAAAGTGATTTAAACTATTGTTGAGAACATTGTTAATGACATACTAGACCCAACCTGCTGGTTAGAAACTAGAGTTAAATGCTCAACAGCTAAACAAGTTACAACTATTTGCTTTTGGTTTGTTTTTCTTATCTCCGACATGATAATAAGCCTTGCTTTCCAAGATTGTTGTGATTATAAGAGTTCATAGTACAGAAAACTGGAAATAAATGTGCAACATAAATTTAAAATATTAGTTTATGCCAGTGCTTTATGTTGAATACATAAAGAGCTAAATCTGAGTCCACAAACAACTTCAGGAACTGTTTCTTTCTACATCTAATCTATATGATTTTTCTTTCTAAAACATGTCAACATTAAGCATCAGTGTATCATACACAGTCTTGAATAGCTGTTGGGGGCTTAAAACCCCTAGCCTGGTACCCAGATGACCTGGGCACACTATGACTAATGTATACATGGAGCACACCAGCCAGTCATAGGAGAGAGACAAAAGTGGATCCATTGTGCACCAATGCAGAAGAACCAGGAATGGTTTTCCTTTTTCTACTAGTGCACTATCTTTTCCTAGGTTGCTGCATTACAGATAACAGAGAATAAACTCACATTTAGAATGCAAGTCTATGAAGCATGTAAACTTTCTTTTGAGTCATTAATCAATTCTGCCACTGTGCAGAGGAAGAAAAATAAGCCTTTACCACATTCTCCAAAGCAAGAGAAATTTCAAATGAAATTAGGTGCAACTCTACCCACCAATGCTACATCTCTCTTTCAACTGATATCTCTTTATTTATTATATATTTTATGCTGATACTGGAGCTTGAACTCAGACCTTCCCAGTCTTGAGCATATTTGCTCAAGACAGATGCTTTACCACTGGAGCTATAGCTCCACTTTTGGCTCTTTGGTGCTTAATTAGAGATAAGAGTCTCCAGGATTTGCCTGCTCAAGCCGACTTTACAAACTGTAATTCTCAGATCTCAGTCTCCTGAGTAGCTAGGATCACAATTATAAGTCATTGATACCAGGTCAATTTTGTAACCAAGAAGGAACTTGCTTTTCTCCAATTCACTAATGAAAAAGTAATGAGTCTAGTGAAGATGACAGGTGACACTACTACTTGTCTTTTCTTCCTTCTCTCATCCAAGTAGGCATGTCATGTATCTCTGAACTCAAGGCACAGTGCCTGAATAGTCAGGGAATTGGCTTCAGAAAAAGAAAACTAATAGTTTGTTCTCTTCAAGACACAATTCTGAAGCCCTGCACATACCCATTTGTATGAGAGGTGAGATAGAGAACTGTCAAAGCAGCAAGGATCTTAAGACATCATAGTCAGGGCTGGAGGTATTGCTCAGTGGTTAGAGTGTCTGTCTAGATATGGTTCTCTGGCTAAATTTTGCTACAACCATGCATGTCTTATCTTGATTAGCACTGATTATTTGAGTGAAATTGTCCAGTGAGGAAATGGCAGTTACTATCATCATTGTCTACTTTAATTGGCAAGGCAAATTAGAGTGGACAATAATGGCATTTGCCTTGTTTATTTATTCAGGTCCTGTGCTAGGAAAAACTGATAAATACATACTTATTACCTATTGTTCATCTACCTTCCAGGGCTCAGTTTTCTGCATCTCATCTGAGTGTGACTAGTAGCTCATTACTAAAACTACCTGCTTGATATAAGGGCTACACCATGACTCAGCTTCTAGCTCTTCCTTTCCAGATGTCACTTCATGTTCTGATGAGTCCCAACCCCTGCCCTATACCCCATTTCTCAGGAGTCCACTAAGTGACTCCATCAACAATCTCATTTTGAACTTTAATCTACCCCGGAGAATGAGACAGTTAGGAAACACTAGTTCTGTGAATGGTAATTTTGTGTCAATTTTTTATGCTTGTTACATTGACATTTAATACCTGCCTTCATTAGCTTAAGGTGAAGAATAAAGACATCAAAACACATCTTTTACATAACCCCTCAATAGTAGCAAAACATAGTATTGCTTGTATTTTAACATAATATAATATTAAATCTATTTACAATATTTGAATTTATTTACAATTCCTCTAGCGATAACTGTCAAAACTGGTTGACCCAGATGACCATGGTAACATAACAAAAGGAGCTCAATTCCCATTTATAGTACATTTTTTTATTAGTCTCTGGCCTCAGAGGCAAAATTTGCAACAAAGACAGTTCTGTTCATATTTAATTAGAGGAACTGCTTAATGATACCACTACTGTCTTAATTTCATCTGTAAGAGACTGAATCCCACTTCTGGTTGTCCTTTATGAAATGAAATAATAGAATTTTTGGGCCCCACTCCCCACTGTACAGTTATTTCTATTCTAGTCACATTAAACCCATGAGGATACAACAGAACGTGAAGTAAAATCTTTGATTGCTTCAAATGTAACAGATAGCATGTGGCTTCCTGGTTTAGAAAACAGGGAGGAACTGGATATGATGGAGGAATGGATTCTCAATGTCCCTACTAGCTATTACAGCTATGGTGTCAAAGGAATGTGGAATTCATTCTTTAGCTTTCATGCATTAACTAAATTAATTTTGTAAAAACAAAAAAAAAGCACAAAACTTAAGAGCAGTGTACTCTATGTAATTATCAAAGTAACACCTATCTGCTTCTGGGCAAGTTTCATAGGTGAGGATTTTAGTAATAACATTAATATTGTACAATAAGGCACAATGTAATGATGATTAGATTTATCTAGACAGCATTTTGAGAAATCAACAGATGAGAAGGGACAATGTTGCTGTGCAGTAAAACAAACAACTAGAGAATAAAACATTTCTCATGTTTTAAACTAAACACCAACAAATATCTATCTAGATATAAGGATAGCTCTGGTCATTTAATTATAACCACAAGTTGCTCAGGAAAACAAATGGTTCTCAAGGGCCTTTTCCAAGTGATTAAAGTTTTTCTCTGCAACTGGTAGAGGGATATTTTCTTTGATTCTGTATGTAACATAGTACATCACCCAGTTGGTTTTCTATCCATATGCATATCAGAGTTAGGATTAATTTGATTGCAAACTGTCTTAAGATTAAAAATGAAAAGTATGATAATTTATTGGCTCTTGTAATGAAATATAGAGAGACCATTGGCTTAAAAAGTGACACCAAGGGCTTGCTTATCCAAGCATCCGAACATCCTTTTCCTGGATATTGCTTCTTTGCGGGCTATATATTATTTTGATTTTCAAAGAGTTCCACAGTAACTAATGAAACATAGTGCATACAAAAAGAACCCAACATACTTACTCGCTTCCCAGAGACTATAAGAGTGAAATGATGCTGTTGATTGACCATGGTCCTCTCAAAGGCTCTAGAAAAGCTCTTCTGTATCTTTCTCTTGGCTTCTGTGGTAGCTTCAGTCCCTGGCTTGTGGCTGAATTAGTCCAATACCTACTTCTCTCAGCATGTGGCCTATTCCTAATCTGTGCCTCAGAATTTCTGTCTAAGACCAGTAATAGTTTGTCTTAATTAGATTGCATCAATAAAGAACCTCTTTCCAAAGAAGGCCACATTCATAGGTACTAAGGACTACCATGTAAACATTTTATTTTGGGGAAAAAATGATTCAAAACACAACATAAATAACAACAAAACAGCAGCAGCAACTCCTTGCCTGAATCTTTTCAGGTTCAAAACCAGTAGAAAAGGAAAATATGCCCCGCCTGGGCCTCGTCCTCCCTCCTCCACTCCTACCCCTCCTCCCTTGGCCTCTCCCCACCCCTCCCCCCATCTGTCTGAAACACATGAGCCAAGAGTGGAAGATTGATTGCTATACATCAAAAGCAATTTAAAACAGGTCCAAGGGAACATAATGAATGTATACAAATAAGTTACAGTATAGACATACTATTTACCTACTATTTTTCATATTTTGTTGTTGCCTCCAGGTTTCTTGAGATATGATTGACTTCCTTTAAATTACCTATATTAAAAGTAAAAGTCTGATTGGGTTTGGTATATGTGAAAACTTTACCACAATCAAGATGATAACTATCTTTATCACCCCCAGAAATTGCCACATGTCCTATTATAATACATTCTTCCCTGTCCTGCCATTTCTAGATAGCCCTTAATCTACTGTTGCTTTGGGTTAGTTTGCAGTTTTTCACAATTTTTATATAAATGAACTTATATAATACATATCTTTTGTACTTATGTTTTCTAATCAGCCTAATGATTTTGAGATCCACTCAAGGTGTAGATAGATAGATAGACCAAAATAGAGATAGAGACAGACAGTTCTTCAATGTCTGATTATACCACAGTTTATCTATTCACTTGTTGATAGATATTTGAGGGTTTTTTTTTTTATCAGGTTTTGGCTATTCTAAAGAAAGAAACATTTACTTAGAAGATCTTTTATTAATCAATGACATATATAAATACAATATATATTGCAATACTTAGTCAAAATAGGTAACAAAATGTTTCCTCTTTTCTTTTCAGATATTGAGGAGAGCAGACAAAAATGGTAAGACTCCAAATCCTACTGTTTCTAGTTATTCTATTTATCTGTGGTCTCATAGTTTACGCCACTTTATAAAGAATAGTAGAAAATAATAAAGTCTTAGAAATTGACTTATAAAATGTCCATTTCTTATAAAAGTCACAGTTTGGGGAAAGTTTATGGCTGTAGATATTCATGAGAAGTTGGCAGAGGAATTTACATTGAACAAAATGATGGACTTACAACTTTGAAATGAGGAAGCCCTGTCCTAGTTGAGCTTTGACTGTTCCTTTTAATGATTGGAAATATCAGTTTAATGGCAGCAACAGATTGATTCACTGAGTGCCTACTATGTGTCAGGTTTGGGGCCATGTGCTTAGGTATGTTGTATCTTAGCTTAACTAAGATATAAAGCTGCTCGTGAATGTAGGATGGCTTGATACCAACTTCCAGGCTCTTTGCACTTAATTTCATGGTGGCTGGCGGTGTCCCACTGCACTGTATGATGGTTGCCTAGGAACCACATAGCAGACATCACACTAGTTCACTTTCCAATGAGAAGAGTATGAATTGGGAGTTATCATGTAAGTGACAGAGAAGGAAGGGATGGTTTAAAAAAATGCCCTGTCAATTTAATGACAGTGGCACAGAGTTCAGTTATAAGCTGTCGTAAGCAACACTGTGTTTTACACTTTTATTCCACCAGAACCATTTCCCCAATGACTTCTACATCATAGCTTATTAAAGTTATTTTACTGTATTACAGCGATACTATAAAGGCTGTAGTGAAGGTGTGTTATTGACAAAAACTACTTGACACCTTTATGATACATAGATTTCTTTCCCTTTCTTGAAACCTCTTTCTTACATGCAGGGAAAGGTTATCATCAAAGTCCAGTTCTGACAGTTTAATGACATAACTAGTTGTATGGTTTGTCCTCAAGCAATCAGATCAAGACACTACATGGCACTGCACAGCTTTCTACCCAGAAGGAAGTAACTCAGTTCAAGGAACATTGGCATGGAATCCCTAATATGTAACTCTGCCTGGCCATTAGAATATCTATATTTTTTTTAGATTATGTTGCCATGATTGGGATATTATCACTTCAAAGGTATCTTTTTTCATATGATGCATTTGATTGCTTTTGAAGACAGAAGTGAAGTGTTATCCTTATGTTTTCTTATCTAATCCTTTTGCTTTTTGCCTGACGTCCAGCTCAGTGGTGCCTACCATGTGACAGAATTACCCTTCTGTCTTCCTGTCACCCACATAATGCAATTCTTACTTTTAAATTTCAAAATGCTTAGATAATTTTTATTTTTTAATATTTTTATTGTAAAGATACTTTACAGAGGGGTTACAGCTACATGAGTAAGGTAGTGAGTATATTTCCTATATAGTATTGTTACCCCCTCCTTTGTTTTTCCCCTAATATCCCTTCCCTCCCTACCTCCCCAATTCTTCTCTCCCCCCAACCCCCAAAGTTGTAAAGTTCATTTTCAACATACTGTCTTGTACATCTCATTGTTATAGTGGGTCAACCTGTATCCTTGTTTCAGCATTTTGTTATTTCCCTTCCCCTCCCCAAATTAAAAAAAAATGTATATACAAGATGCAGGACACTGGAATCAAATACAGCGACAACATAATACAATTCTGGGCTGCAGCTCAGAAATACCTTATCTCCTTTTCCATCCAAGCACCTGTCTCTCTCAGATGGTGCTTTCATTTCATTGTACTTCCAAGACTCTGAGTAAGGACCATCATTCCTTTTGTTTCTATCAAAATGAGCATAATGTCCATATGATTTACCAGTGTGGGAATGCCATTTATTATGCTACACAGAGTAACTGCTTGTTCTGGCAGCCCCGGCCCCTGTTTCCTCACTCACCATAATGTCTCTCCTCTCCTTGCTCCCTTTCCTAACGCCTGATTTTTGCCCTGCTGACAAAGCTACCTTTCCCCTTCTCTTGCTCAGTCTTTACCATGCATTTGCCTCTTCCCTCTCTGAAGCACATAAATTCCTGAGCATCCCTCCAGCCACCCACCTCTATGATTCTGTAACATCTGTCACTTTAACCTCTGCCTTGACCTGAATCTCTGCCTACTAGTCAATTTAAGAGGTCTCATATATTGTTTTCATTCTTTCACAAAAGTCATCTTATCTGAGTAGCCATTTTCCTTGGTAGGACTCTGCCCCCTCTCGCTCAAGCATACACTTTTGAATATATTGAGTTTTGCCTTATGGTGGAATTTATAGAAAATTTACCTCCCTAAGTCATACATGCCTCTCTAGAACAATGAACTTGTCTTATGAGGAAATTATAAATCTTCAGTATTAGGTGCTTAATAGACATTTATTTAACAAATTAATAGTAATTGAGGCTGTTCAGCTATATTATCCATTGCCTTCTCTGTCTGCTTTTCTCTGTGCCTCTTATTTCACCTTGTTCTTCATTTTCTGTGTGAAGTAGAGGCAGAATCAGGCAAGTCTGGACATAAATAACAGCTATACTATCTTGTATCTCTGTGTTTGACATGTAGTTATTATGAGTAATAATTGAGGTAATGTGTCTCATAATAATAGTATGTCTCATAATGTCTCCAGGAAAGGGCCTGACACATAGTAAAAACATAATATTGAATAATTAAACTCTTTTCTTGTATTCTTATGCCTTGGTTACATGAAATAATTGGTGACATTTTAGCTACATCTATTGCAGTAGGATACAGTGAAAAAGAAAACATAAGGCTATTTACCATATGAGCGGGATTTAAAAGAGGAAAGATGGGATGATCTAATGTAAATGAGAAGATCAAAAAGTAACCATCTTTCTGCACCATGTGTTCATCACATTCTCTATTTTCAAATAAACAGTTTCTGCATGTATTTGATCTCTTGGTAACAGACCCTCATATGACCAAGTCTCTTGTGGACAGCTTAATTGGTGGTGGAACAATCAAAGAAATATGAGGCAATAAGCAGCTGAGAGTTATGCTGCCAGAGGACAGATTTGGCATTTGGACTTAGATATCTGACATGAAAGAGAGGTTGCTGGTTAAATGAGGGGAAAATGCATGATTAGTGATTAGCTTTAATAAGAGTGTCTTGGGGAGGATTTTGTTTTTGGTTGGGTTGATGTTAGACTAGATATAAAGATAACCCTGAAAATAGAACTGTTTACGGGAAATGCCAGTGCTTAGCTAAAGAGCCCAGAATTAAACCTAGAAAAGGCAAAATTCCTGAGAAAGCTAACACATGGATTCCATGGACACTTCCTGAGAATATTTGTTTCTGTCTTTGTTTTTTAGTTTTCTTTTCTGTCGGTGGTGGGGCTTGAACTCTGTGCCTGAGCACTGTCCCTCAAGCCACTTAAGCCACAGCGCCACTTCCAGTTTTCTGGTGGTTTGTTGGCGATGAGAGTCTCATGGACTTTCCTGCCCAGGCTGGCTTTGAACCGCAATCCTCAGATCTCAGCCTCCTGAATAGCTTGGATTACAGGCATGAGCCACCGGCTCCTGGCTCCTGAGTGTTTTAATTTTACAAAAATATACTTTAATTTTATGCATTATTATTTTAAAATATTTGCGAGGTAAAGGAATGTGTACATACATTTTTTCAAGATGTACAACTTGACGATTTAATATACACATTCATGCTGTAATGATGTCCATAATCAACTTAATGAACATATCCATTACCACTATGCATGACTAGAATTTCTGTCCATTAACCACATTTCCCCATTTATCCCACCCACAGCTCTTGGCAACTATAACTCTACCCTTTCGCTACTTTGAGTTTGGCTTTTTTCAGATTCTACTTATATATAAGTGAGATACAGCATTTATCTATGTCTGGACCAAAGGTTATTTTTTTTTAGCCTATGTAAAAGGCAATATACAAATGATCACAGTAATGAACAGAACCATCAGATTCCTCTTGTTGATGTGTACTTGCTAAAGTTTATTATCATTCCTTTAAGCAAATAGGAAGGTTGTGTGTTTGTGGTGATTTTGAGCCACAGCGTCACTTCTGGCTTTTTTTTTTCTTTTTGCTTTTGTGGTGCTGAGGAATCGAACCCAGGGCCTCATGCATGCAAGGCAAGTGCTCTACCACTGAGCCACCTTCCCAGCGGTGGTTTTGATTTCTGTGCAATGGCTCTTTACAGTCCCTGAGAGAATTTTTATCTTTGGGCTTTTGTTCCATTGTTTCAGCCTATACGCTCTTAAGTCTGTGAGATCAGCAATGTCTAAGGTTTATACTGGTGCATGAAATGCCTGCCATAACATAGGTAGATGCTCAATAAATTTTGTGAACCCATGTATAAGAAGTACATAACTAACAATTTGACCTGAAAAGCGAAAAGAGACTGGAGATGTAGCTCAAATGGCAATATACTTGCCTAACAGGTACACAGCTCTGATTCAACCCCTAGCACCAAAAACAAACAACAACAACAAAAAAGCAACAACAACAACTGTAAAAGAAACACCATCAGACATACTATTTAATTCAAACATGCTCTCTTCTTAAGCATCTGTTTTTCGTTTGTTTTTGGTTTTGTGCTGGTACTGGGGCTTGAACTTAGGGCTCTTCAGTCTTGCTCAGCTTTTTTGGTTAAAGATGGTACTCCACTATTTGAGCCACACCTCCAGTCCACTTTTTTTCTGATTTATTGTATGCAACTATCTCTTGGATATTTCTTCCTGAGCTAGGTTCAAACTGATGCTCAAATCTCAGTCTCCTGGGTAGCTAGGATTTCAGGTCCAAGCCGCCAACAGCTGACTAGAAGGCTGAGTTTTTGATCAACAATGTTCAGAGTATCATGGAGATTGATGGTTCTCTGTGGTCTGTGTCTGTGCCTTAGTAAAAAGGCCACACTTTGATATGAGCTACACAGCCCAACATCATCCATATCTTCAGAGTTCTCTAGCTAGTTTTAATCCTATAGTCAAGGATTTGGGCCCAAAATAAAATGGGATGGTCAACAAGTGTGCCCTGAAATTAGAATTATTG